AATTTTCCCCCCGTGATTTTTAGGGAGTGTTTCTGTAATACAAATAATGTCTATCCGCTCGTTTTCAATCACAGTTAATAGTTCACTTCTTTTATTCAAAACGGAGTCCGAGTTCGTGTAAAAACATTTTAAAGCTTTTTGTGCACTTTCACTTTGATTCATGCGTTTATTTCTTACATTATTTACAGGCCTGGTTCTATGGACATGTCTTCTTCTTGCGTACTTTCAGCACAATTTGCTTTTCATAAGGACTTCTAGGATGTGTTGTTGCAAAGTTCCTATGGATTCTCATTCTGCAGATAAGACGCTCCTGCTTTTGGACCCTGTCGTAAAGATGCGGTAGACTTTTGAACCGTTCAGTGCCGTAGTTCATAATACTGTTCCACGCTGTCCTGGGTCTGGCAGTACATGCTTACCTTGTGCAGTTGACCTACGGAAGCCTCATGAACTGCGCTCCGTGGCACAAGAATATCTTAGGAAGCAACGCTGTCTCCGAATGGATCATGGCTTATGTGAACTGTTTTTTTACTATATAACTGATCGTCAGCTGGCCAGCATAGATGTATAAAGTCATGGCACACGAAACCGTGATCGACTTGTGGATGTTCACTTCAGCAATACTCGGGATTGTCTACGGTCAATATTCGTACGGTTTTCAGTTCTTGGTTGTGGAGCGACTCCTTCGACGATCAAGCAGATTTGCTCTTTAAAGGCTGTTCAAGGGAGCCGTCTGATCATCAGTTGAGTAAAACAATGAAATGTTAGAATGTGGAAAGGAATGTCTGTGGACTATTCCACACAGCGGAGGAATGGAGCACTAACTACTCCTTCAACATCGACAAGAACGGTGAACTAGCTACTGTCAGATCACACGACGATTATTTTTACTTCACTATAGTGACGCTTAGCACCGTTGGATATGGTGATATTTCACCGAGCACTGTCATTGGTCAGGTTGTTGTGCTGCTTGTCATCATCATCACAATCGGGTACTTCGCCATACGATTTTCGGATCTCATAGAGTGGCTCATCGGAATTGCCAACAGTTGGAGATATGCGAGGAGGAATTTGACGCCTGCAGAACGAGTGGTAATCGGAGGACATCTCACAGCATAAAATCTAGGGAATTTTTTGCGAGATTTCCTACACAATGATAGAAATAATTACCATTTGGATGTGATTATTCTTGGTGATGAACCTCCAGATCGGTCACTCAGGAAGTCATTTGACAAGTACTGGAATGTTCACTATTGCATTGGTAGCGTCCTAAACGTATCCCACTTAAAATCCCTGTTCGGCAAGGAAGGCAGACCTACAGATACTTTGATTCTTCTCGTGAATAGTGAAAGTGAGTTACAAGATGAGGAGGACAAGCTAATTTTCTTGACGGTGTTGCAGGTAAAAATTTTAAAGTCCGCTGTAAAGATAGCTGCCTGTGTTTTCAATAGGGACACTGCTGCTAAATTGATGGAAATTCAAAATTGGAACCCGGAGAAAGATTCGGTCATATGTTTGAACCAAGTGACAATGTGTCTGTTGCTGCAAAACGCTTTGGCTCCTGGATCTGCCATTTTAGTGCACAACCTTTTGGTGGCAAGCAATAATAAATTAAAAGCTAAGAGATTGAAGGCACTCTCGAGATTTGAAACCGTACGCACAGCACGCAGTACTCACGTGTACACAGCACGCAGTACTCACGTGTACACAGCACGTAGTACTCACGTGTACACGGCACACAGTACTCACGTGTACACAGCACGCAGTACTCACGTGTACACGGCACGTAGTACTCACGTGTACACGGCACGCAATACTCACGTGTACACGGCACGTAGTACTCACGTGTACACGGCACGCAGTACTCACGTGTACACAGCACGCAGTACTCACGTTTACACGGCACGTAGTACTCACGTGTACACGGCACGCAGTACTCACGTGTACACAGCACGTAGTACTCACGTGTAAACAGCACGCAGTACTCACGTGTACACGGCACGTAGTACTCACGTGTACACGGNATAACTTAATGTAAGGAATCCTACCTACATAATAACTTAACCCCACAACTGAGACCTACAGTCAGACACCGCGAGCTCAGCGGTGGGGCGCTCAGGAACAATCCCCCTAGGAACGCGAAATCCCATAGGACTTCTGACGAGCACAGTACAAGAATTGAGAGTTCGGTGAAGATCACCTGGTCTATTGATGGTTGATGCTATAGATCACCTGGTCCGATGAGGCAGCATCAACCGCCGCCTTTTCCCCCTCGTTGCCTCTTACCCCCACGGGTCCGGGCACCCAGCAGACGCTCACTGCTCTACCTGCCCCAGCCAGGCGCACCAGCCCGGACAAGTTTTCCTCGACAATGGGGGTGTTAGCAAACTAACATAACTGTAGGTCAACCAACTACCATTCATTTCGGATGCTCTTTACGGTCTCGTGTATTTATGCATTATGGTGGAGTAGCCGATGAAGGAGAATATAGAGGAGAAATGCCAAGTAACTTTTATAAAAGGAATCTCTTACAAAGTTACAGTAACGCCTGCAATTTCATCTATAATTCCGCTTAATTACAACTCTTAAGATATCAATTTTGTACTGCGGAAAGCAAGAAGGGAACTATGATTATATTCAGTTGCCTCGTACTGCAGGGGTCATACTTTCAAAACTCGCTAAGTGAACGTAAGAACCTACGCTCTATTTTCTTGCCATTGATTGGTGGATTTTGCTCGAAAGGCCGTCAATGATTGGCTGATGAACTTACGATCTCTTAACTTTTTTTGAAAGTATAGGCCCTGGTCAGCAGCGGTAGGTGCGTTTGCTTCTTGGGTAGGCGCACTCTTAGATTTAGAGAGCACGGCTGATAATTATTTAAAGGTATCACACATACCAAGGAGTCTCGTCTGGACATAGGTGGAAGATAAGCAAAGCAGCTTTGCTGAAGAAATAAACAAAACGAACACCACAAATAAGTAGAATGAGTGCTGAATAATTCAAAATCAATATGTACTCTGTTTATTAATAATAAATGTCAATAAACGCGGTGATACGCACGCCTGTAATAACTAAGCTCGCCCCATTTGCAAGAACGCCGCTGCCTCCTCTTTTCGCACGATACACTATCAAAAGTCAAATAAAGAAAACAGTCCCATATGAGAAGTCGGGTGCATAGATCGGAAGGTGAGTCTGTACACAGTTACACTTTTTACAGCCCCTTAGGAGTATAAGAAGACTCACGCTCAACACTTGACGTACAGCAGAATCGAAGAGTTCTGAAGCTCGAGTTCACAAATGCTACTGATCATATGAAGTACTCGACAGTCGGTAGAGATATCCGCATTTTCTCAATATACAATTTACATTAAAGCTATACAATTTAAATGTCGACATATGTACAGTCCTCATAAATGTGAATGGATCGATGATGTTGGACATGTAGCCGTCAATATTGAATATTCATACGCGTCAATTCATGAATACAGGACGCGCTGGTTGTAAACGCCTCGGCGATGGAAAATAAATACCAAAAATTAGTCACGATGGCTTCTCGTCTCCATCCTTCTTCCTCACGCTCCCGAATATTGTACATGCAGAACAGAAAAATCGAGGCTTACGCAATTTTCAAAATAATTGTACATTCTTAGAAGCAGCTAAGTTCCATGGAAAAAAATATCCAAATTATTATAGGCTACTTAGCTTTCTGAAAAAATACTCGAAGCAGTTCAAATTATGCGAGTGAAGTGTGCAACGAAAGCTGTCCAGTTTCCACCACATAAGATACATGAGCAAAGTAGTTCAAGACATGAGCAGTTGCCGCATGGCACGCCACATTAGCGAGAGCAGAGGCAAGGAAAGCAGATCATTCAGAGGAAACTCACAGAAAACGAGACTCAAAAATTATAATAAAATTATAAATTACGATTTTCCTGGATAAGCTTGTTTCACCACAGAAAGACCTCACCAGTTTGGTTAAGCATGCGACAGTCGTGATGACATCTCAATTTGGATGAGCATGAGATATTATGTTGAAATCTTACACTGCGTGAGAATTTGAGCCTGATATTTACAGAGGGTTCGTTTTCCTATGAGTTCACTTCCGAGGTCAGGGCTGGGAGGGGAGTTGATTCGTTAATTTCAGCTTTAAAAGTTTCAATTTTGAGCAACAAAATGACTCTAGAGTTGCAGCACATGACACGAAGGAGGAGTTAGGAGGGTTGTAGAGCCGGCAGTTATCCAGCAATAAGATTATATCTCCAACAAAATCAGCAAGGCGATTGTAATGATGATCCTTGACGCGACGCTCAATAGTGCGTAGGTCCATGGGCTGACGCACAACCTTGTAGTAGTCTGGTACCTCGCTGGGGTCAACGGCATCCAAAAAGGGCCAGGCGTTCTTGTGTGCCTGCCGACAAAATAGAACAATTTGATTCGAGGAATATGATAATCAAAATGCAGGTGCATCAAATAAAACTTAGATCTCATCCACTAAAACAGATAGTCTTGGCTAGAATTCTGCCATTTTTTTTTCTTAAATTTTTGTGCGAAATCCGATCTACAAAATCATTTCAACGCAGCTTTGTCTCACCCATGCTCAAAAACAAAGTAACAGCAACCTCTGAAGCATACAGTTTTGCCACCTATCAGTAATTTAAGGAAAAATATACTCGTAAAACTTACCACAAGTGTCTTGGCTAATTTCTTGAGTTCGGTGTAATCTTTATTGGTGAGTTTCTTTTGACATGGCAAGTTCCAGACGTTGTTTGGCTGGCACTTAGGACAAATGTAGTCATCAATATCGTCAGCTTCGCCCTGCATTATGCCCACACATCTGCCGTGGTACCAGTCTTCGCACTGCTCGCAGCAGATGTAAAACTGCGTCTCGTCGTATGGCTGCAAAGATCATACCAGCATAGTCATGTAAGAGGAATCGCATTGTAGAAACACCTAAAAAAATTCACAGCAAGTCCATATAATCTTTCTGATTAACTTTTCTGTGAATATTTGTAGCTCATTTCATTCTTTTCAACCTAATTCGAGGTGAGAGCAATGAATGAACAATTAGACTGAACTACAGTAACAATTAAAACCTATAGCACGACGCTGACCTGACAACTGAAACAGAACTACTGATGGAGAAAAGCCTCGTAAACAAGACAATAACCTGTCTACAGATGCAGCAGAGCAGAGACGCTGAAAGGTGTAGGTGCACTGCAAGATACTCGCCTGTCTACAGATGCAGCAGAGCAGAGACGCTGTACGGTCTAGGTGCACTGCAAGACACTTACTTGTCTGCAGAAGTAGCAGACCAGAGACGATGCATGGTCTAGTGCAATACAAGACACTAACCTGTCTGCAGAAGCAGTAGAGTTCCTTGTTCATCTTTGCGTTAGCGCAGTCGTCGCATATATACTCGTTCATGGTCCTGCTGAGAGCCTCCGTGATGCCCACGCACTGTCCGTGGTACCAATTGGCACAAAGATCGCAGCCAACATAGAATCTGCGAGGTGTACATTATCACTGTCAGAACAGCAATACTCCTACACATTATGATAACGGAATATATGTAATAATATGTTTGCCATTCTCCCTTCGGTACTAGGTATGAGAAAAGGACATGTTGATAAATTTCATTGGCACTTGTCCCCAACTTAGATTTTTGTGGACGTGTGCAGTCCAAATTCTTTACTTTAACATCTTTGCCGAAAATTGACTGCAAAGTCAAACAATTCCACACTCCTAGTATATAATACATAAGCACAATGAAGACGATGATAACAGACATCACATCCTCCTTTTATGATATCAATTAACATATTAATACTGGTAAACGAACCAGTCAAATTAAATAACAATCAAATTCTTGTCATGAGAACGTGACTTAAAGCAACTTATCTCATGATATCAGCGGTAATCTACGAATAACACATGAACAAAAAAAGCAATAGAGGTAATAATGTTGGTTACCTGGAAAATAGAAATGCACACGTAACTCACGTACTAAAGGATACTTTTTTGATAACAGTGATTTTTAGCGCATTTTCTCATTTAGAGAAAAAATACCTATTGTGCTCGTCATGTCCGTCCGTCCGTGACTTCACGTTTTCGTCGACGAGAAAATGCGCTCTCTGTCACTCACTGCAGTGAGTACTGAGTTATATTTTTTTCCCCTTTTGGCGCTGCGCCACCTACTCTTCAACACTTTTTATTCACATTTATCTACGAGGTCTCCACCCCTGCCAGTCACATAGAACGCTATAGCCACACTACACTGCAGACTGCCTGGCGGTTTGCAGAACAGCAACTCCAGCATTGCTGGCATAGTACCTACTCACATGCTAGAAAACAACCAAGCCTAGTTCTCCCTCCCCAACAATGTCTAAGCCTAATCTGGAGCCATACCATCAAAAATAGTAATGAGTTCTTAGCTACCTCAACTAATCACTAAAAGTTTGTCAAGCTTAACTACCCAATCACAGCTGCTATATCGGCAGCTATGTGTACTTAAGCACTTAAGCAAGTGTTGATTGTAAGGCCTTAGTTCTCTGTCCCTTTGCGACTACCCTCGAAATAAGCTCCCTAATCAGAGCCTCCTGATATCTTAAACGGTGAGCATCGGCCAGAGCCTAGGCCTTCTTATGCCACTACTGTCTGACGTAGGGAGGGCCAACAGATCCCACGCAAGCACGATGAAACAAGTAGAGCCACGGCTTCTATCTGGATACTGTCTTATATTCTAATCCTATGATCCCCTCGCACATTCTCAGCTAAGAACAACTCAACACCATCACAGCTCGGTGCCAATGAATATAGTCTCTTACTAACTACCTAGAACCAATTGATGTACAGTAAATTATTAAATAATTTTGGGATCCCGGAAAAAATTAATACACCCAAAAATGCGAACGCAATTGTCACACCCTCAATGCCTAACGTGTCATTTGACTGTGTAGCGTAGCCTCTACCACCCACCTAACCCCTCCTCTTGCAGTTGCCTCCCTCGCTCACCTTTTAGCCACAAAGCAATGTACGTCAAAGCAACAACTCACTTGGTATCATCAAATGGCGTCCGACAAATGCAGACGATTTTCTTGTGTTTATTCTTTAGTTTTTTATTGCTGGAAGACTTGTGTTTCTTGGGGTTTTGTGAGGGCGACGTGGCGCCCTTCCCGAGGGAGGTCTCGGTAGTGGACGCGCCGGGCATAGAGCTGCATTGGTCCGCTGCACCTGGTGGAGTATGTCAGTATGTAAATAATGCACAGCTTTAGCCTTGCAGGAATAAATGCTGCTCACAAGCAAGTAAACATTAAAATATTGATATTTACTTATTTGTGTTACAGATTGTGCGGTAATACTTAAAACTATATATTGCCGGCAGAACTTTAAATGCGTAAACATTGTTATCCATTTAATTAATTAAATACATTATTAACCAGTCAATGTTAAGAATTCCAGCATTTACTTCAGTAAGAGCCCTTCATCTAATACTCAAGTACTACAAAATCTTCAATGTTATGAAATAAAGCCGGATTGTCGAAGGTTATTGCAACGCACCCACTTCATCAATGCAACAAATGGTGACTCCTCCCAGGCATTAACCCAATAAAACATGACCATTAACGCTTCATCTATGCAAATTAATTAACTGACCAGGTTTCTTTTTCTTTTTATTAGGAGAGCCGATCTTAGATGGACCGATTGCAGCCTTCTTCTCTAACACCTCCACTTGCTGCTTGGCAATGTTCAGCTCCCTCTGCACAAGCAAAAATATTCAACATGCAGATACCTGTGTGAAACAGAAAATGTTTCATGCACAACGACAAAGTTGGCCATGTATGACAGCCGTAAGACAGGATTAAAAATAAAAGCATACAAATCGGAGGGAATTGAATTCATACGTATAAATCGACATCTAATTCATCTCGATATACTTGCCATTTCATGACACCAGGATTGTCACAAAATGATAAGTATGAATATAAGGAAATTAATCCATATGACAATGCGCTGCCAAAGTTTTCTAGCAGAAATTTCATCAACTTGTTGACAGATAATGATTCAGCAAATATTTCTCACTCTTCACATTTTGTGATGTTTTTTGTTTGCGACTCACACTTCATCATTATGTAAAGGAAATAGAATAGAATAGAAGAATAAATTGATAACGGCGATATTGGTTAATCGGATCACATCGGTGAAAGTGAAGACCTGATACCAAGTGAGGAAGATAATACCGGGTTTGTCAGATAACAAGACCACGCCTGTATTCCTTGTCGTTTGGTGACCCCTAACCACACCACACTTAGAAATTTCTTCATAATTATAATTCACTTAATCACATTTTGTAACCATCACGACACCACAACCTCCATAAGAGCAGGTAATTGAACTGACGTGTATCTGGAGCTGCAAGTCTTTCTCGAGGAGTGCTCTCTTCTTGAGAATGTCTTTCTTGAGGAGGTCCTTGTGGCGGCTGAGCTGCACCTCCAGACGCGCCGTCGACTTTCTCTTGGCATCGTCAGCGGGCGACGTGGCGGCCGCTCCTCCGCTGCGCCGCTTCTTGCTGGATGGGGGTGTCCCGTCCTCGCCTGATCATAAAAAATATATAACTCAGTACTCACTGCAGTGAGTGACAGAGAGCGCATTTTCTCGTCGACGAAACGTGAAGTTACGGACAGCAGACGGACAGACGGACTGACGGACGGGCGGACAGGCGGACGGACATGACGAGCACAATAGGGCATTTTTTCCATAAATGAGAAAATGCGCTAAAAATATCGCTATTAATTAATTATTAACATCACTGCATTATTTCAATGATTGTGTGCTTACTTCAGATTATTATCAATGATTATTGCGTATATTAACACCTGGTCACCAAAAAATTATCGTTATTAATCAATTATTAACATCACTGCATTAAGTCAATGATTTCATGCTTATTTCAAAATTATTATCAATGATTATTGTGTATAGTAACGATTGTTCTATCGTTTTGCAAACATATCAACACTATAATGTGATTATCCACCCTATAATTTGCAATATATTAATTTCAATAATGCCAATAATAATTTATACAAACTCAATAATATTAATTTATACGGAAGATAAATTTGCAACTATGAATGAATAACAGGGATGTTGTGGTGTAATTTTTTTTTTTTATAGAAGTAGCAATGGCCCTGTAAAGAACCTCGAAAACCTCATAAGTAACATGTAAGGAAAGACATTCCCAAAAGGAAGATTACTCACTTGTAGCGCCATGAATAACCGATGTCCCAAGACTCGTATCCGAGGTATTATAATTTACTAGTGATGAAGCAGCCACATTTACTCAAGAAGGAGAAGGAGGAAGATTAACCACCATTTGAGGCCGCCCTAAAAAGAAAGATGCTCACCAGTAACGTGGGGTGGGCGCCGAGCAGGACTGTGAGTGGTGGGGGACTGTTTGTTGCTTTCGCTTGTGCGGGGACGCTTGTTGCCTCCTCGTCCTTTCTTTCCCTCACTGCTACTCCCCTCGCTCTGCAAGTGAGACAGCTTTAAGGAACCAAATATTTACAATAGAGAAATAATGTATGAACATCGTTTAAATAAATCAGCAGGAGGCTAAATATAGTCAGTTTTTTTGGAATGCAAGAAAACAAGCATTTACGCAATAATTCAATACTAAATTTCATAATATTCGAGCAACTACACATCATTTTGTTTGGACCTGATTGGTTATATCCACTTGAACGCTCAAAAAATAAAGAAATGTCACTCACGGCATCCCTAGCTCTTTTAGACGCAGGTGTCACAGCGGGGGAAACGACTGCTGCAGCAGCAACTGGTGTACCACTGTTGCCGGTGTTAGACGAAGCATCATGCGTTAACTGTTCCGAGTTGTACTTTTTAAGCTGGATGAGCTTTTCTTGAACATCAGGAGCCAGGTCGTTACTTCCAAGAGCGCTTTGAATGGTCTCTTGAATGTAGTTGTTAGTGAGAACAAACTGACCATTGCCTTGGTTGACAGGACTGGCAGCAGCAGGTTTCTTGTCTGGAACAATAGCTCCTCCTGGCATTCGTATGTACGTGGCTGTGCTATTGTTCTTGAGCGCAAGAACAGCAGGAACTTTCAGTGAGGGTGTTGACGTGCGCACAATAGTGACCTGTTGCGGCTGTTGTTGTGGTTGTTGTTGTGTTTGCGGTTGTTGTTGTTGTAATGGTTGAGGAACCATGACGGGCTGCGCACTGGTGGCACCACCCACTTGAAGAGTCAGTGTCATGATGGGCGAAAGCTGGTCAACCTGCAGGTTGTACTGAGCTAGCATGGATCGCACCTGTTGTTGAATGGCACGAATGTGATCTTTGGTGAGCCCCACGCTAGGAAGTAATCCCTGGATGATCGTCTTAGGCCCTTGTTGTGTCATGCGCACCTGAACCTTCAGAGTGAGCGTGTCCGGCTGGGTACTCGTGGCGGTGGTACCAGATGCCACAGATGAAGGTGTTGATGAGCTCACATAAGACCCATCGGGCGCAAGTTTCACTGGGCTGGAATTTACCACAGTTGCTTTCTGGTTAATTAAAACACTACCGGTGGGGATGGTTGGTCTCTGGTTGATGATAACACCAGTTGCAGTCCTGATAGCCTCGCTGGTACTCACACTAACCACCTGTGATCCTTCCTTGCGCAGCACCACCTGCTGGCCATTCAACTTGACCAGCTGAGGGGAGTTAGGCAGCACCACTGCTGGCTTGGGCTGCTGTACAGCGTGCACCATAGGTGTAGCATTAACAGGTTTGCTGTTTATCAGCTGGAATTTTCCATCAGGTCGTTGAATCATCTGCTGTCCGTCAAGCAAACCCTTAACCTTGATCTGTCCATCAGGGAGGCGGATTATCTGAATGTTCTGATTGGCCAGCCTGATGGTGGCAGGGGCGGGAGCAGTTGTGAGGACCTGGGGCGGGGTAGGCGCGACTTGAACGATGGGACGAGGCGCACGAGGCAAGATCATACGCGGGTTTCCTGCTACGTTCTGCAGACGAATAACTTTGTTCGCCGTCGGTGTGACGTGCTGAAGCTGCGGCTGAGGAGATATTTGCACCTTCGGGAGACGTGCAGAAGCAGGAGCTAAATTTCCCAGAGTCTGGACGCTGATGATGCGGCCATCTTTGGTGCGTACGAGCTTCTTGGCGGCGGTGATGTTGCTCAACGGACCAGTCTTTACAGCCGTCACTGTCTTGCCGTCGCCACTAAAACATAAATAATTGTTCAAATAATACCGTCTCATTCCTGCAAAGATTGTTATTACTTCAACATGGCCAAAACTGTTGCATATTAGTATGTGCCACGGTAAGATTTGGCAAATTTGAAGATGAATATAATTTTGAGTTTTGAAAATATTTTACTTGATAAAAATAGAGGTTAGGTAAGAAACAAATGAGAGATAATTATGAGAAATAGCCTTTGTTCAACAGGGAAGATCAAATAAGGAGAGAACAAACAAATTATCAAGTAAACAGGCCTGAAAGTGAATGAGAAAAAAGGTAAAAAATTAATGCTGCATAAAATGAACAATAATATCCGAGGAGCAGAGGACAATGGTGTATATAGAATGAAGAGAAACTGAGAGATGATGGAAGGATTCAGCACGATTGAAGTGAAGAGAAAACGGAATAATGCAATAGGATGAGGATGGACTGTGCAACACGACGGAGGTCGAAACAAGGCAGAAGTACCCTGTAGTGGAAGATATTTTGAGCAGAATTACCTTGTAATGTAAGATATTTTGAGCAGAAGTACCTTGTAATGGAGGATACTTTGAGCAGAAGTACCTTGTAATGGAGGATATTTTGAGCAGAAGTACCTTGTAATGGAGGATATTTTGAGCATAGTCTTGGCTGGGGTGGCAGTCCCCTCACGCTGCTGCTGCTGGAAGACGCTGCGCTGCTGCTTCAGTGTCTCCTCCATGCGCTGCTTGATCTCAAATGAGCTGCCACTCTGTTGCCACACACATAACTCTCTTTCAGATATGACAGTCACATTACAACAACATTAATGCATGTACATTTTCATTGTAAATAAGAAAGGTGCATAGCATACAGGTATTCTTGACCTTATTATCCTATTCTAAGCCATAAAAAATAAGTGAATGGTGGCATCGAATTATGCATTTTGTACACATGGCTCTAGTTCCAACAAACGCATGCAACAAATTTTACCTGAAATTATTCAGATGAATAACAAATTGTTTTATAGGGAAAATAATTATATTTAATTTAGCTCATTATATACATCATTCGGAATTATACCGCAGAGGCATATAAGGGCAGACTGAAGTCTGCACATTCCAGTGAAAATGATATTAGCAACTTCATCATGCAAACGTCAAATCTTTTTCTCAGATGCAATGAGTTAAAAAATATGTAACAAGAATCGACCAAGAAACAGCATAAATAATTCCTCCTAAAGGTGTATGATTTGAACTCATACATAACTCAATTTAAACCAAATATCTCGATAACCCACGAGAGCGATCTTAGTAGCAATTGGGGAGGGATTATCAGCCTTCTTGGGGAGGTTGGCGGCTCGCTCCAGCCGCTCCCCAAAGAGCCTGATCTCCCACAGCAGCAGCTGCTCCTCGGGCACCCACTCCTCCATGCTCTCAGGACGCTTGTCCTCAGGAGACTGCGCGCGACGCCTCTTGCGCAACCCACTGCGCTGTGACGGCGTGAACTCTGCAAGAAAATCTTACGTCAAAATGAGGGCATGACATGGAGTATGTAAGCATGTGGAGCATGTAAGCATGTAAGCATGTGGAGCATGTAAGCATGTAAGCATGTGGAGCATGTTAGCATGTGGAGTATGTAAGCATGTGGAGCATGTAAGCATGTGGAGTATGCCATCATGTGGAGTATGTAAGGTGAAGCATGTAAGCATGTGGAGTATGTATGCATGTGTAGCATGTATGCATGTGGAGCATTCTCGTGAGGCAGGTGAGCATGAGGACATGGCAAGCATTCTCGCAAGGCACATAAACACAAGAGCATAACAAAGAGATGAGATCAATATATTAGCGTTTAATAGAATATTTCATAGCTTAACACTTTAGTAATCCAATCCATTGAGTTAAGGTCTCTGTGGAAACCCCAGAAAAAAAGTGAAAAATATACCTATATTCTATTATCCAATAATAAAAACAACCTGGAGCCAGAGGATAATTTGATAGTCCAAACACAATCACTTGTTGCAGAACTAATGGTATTGAAAAAAGCACTTCCCTTTCACACACCTAAACTGCACTGACAATATAAACCAGAGTTACCATGGATATCTCCACCGAGTGCTCACCTCTAACAGGCTTGGGCACCTCAAAGGGAATCGTAACTTTCCTCCTGAGGTACTCAGTCTTCTCGTTAAAACGTCCCGAGTGCTTCCTTTTGAGCACTTCTGTTTGTACTATCTCTGTGTCAGTTGTGATGTGGCGTTTGCCATCACTGGCACCCTTCTCCTGCATGTCTTCCCAGCGCAGGCAGTGCCACAACACTCTGAGCTGCAGCGCCACGGCACTCAGAGTGCTCAGAGTGGCAGTTCGGTATAGCCACGTCTGTTTAAACAGAGGACGTGGGCAAGGATATTGCCAGACGCCAGGATTGATCTTGGCGGCGTGAGCAAAACCTGCCACGCTGTGTCGCCACCATCGTCTGCACAGCGTCTTCAACTCCCAGGCTGGTAGCACCAGCATGCTGTACCTGCACATATATATTCTCATTGAGTACGAGAATCAACATAGAAAGCCACAACAATAAAAAGTTAATAATTAGTTATCAAAAGCTTTTTAGATATTAAAAGCTTTTTAGACTGCTACCTGCATGAGATGAGTTGTAACCGAAAATAAATCTGATGATTCAAACAATGATATGTACCCATTTTTACCATTTTTCAAGTTGAAGGAAAAGGAAAAAGAATAACAAAGAGCAGTAAAACATCTTTCCCAATCACATCTCTTTTTTAAAATTCAATAGAAATATTGTTGTTATCAGTGATAGGTACTCATTAACATTGACGTACCTGTCCTTGCCCACTCTGCATGTGGTAAGAGGTGGCAGTCTTGGAGGAGGTTTGTTTTTACTATCCGAAGTATCAAGTTTCTTGAGGTATATTTTGCCACTACAGGTCTGCGAGAGGAGGTCAGACTCCTCTTCCTTTGGTTCCAGGAGGGCAAACTTGTGGTGGTCTTGGCAATCTTGACTGCTCTCTTCCAGTTCAGTCTCGACCTTCACGCTGATCTCGCTGTCGCTGGCTTTGTTGCAGCTGACGTCTGCTTCTGCAGCTTTGCTGACAGTCGAGAAGAAGCTATTCAAGCTGCTGCTGTTGTTATTGTTGTTGATGTTACTCTTCTTGGTGTCAGCTGCGGCCTCACTGAAGTCCATTTCAGAGAGCTTGATGATGTCATACACACCAACCTGTAACATATACATATTTTTTAGACAGCCGTGTCAACATTTCAGCAAAACTCACTTCATTTTTGCTTTAGCCTATACCAGCAGAAGGCTCTGCAGACTGCCTTAGACACTGAATTCAAATTTTTCTACCTTGGTGGTTAAACAAGACTCTTACTTATGTCTCATCTGGAACACAACTTAGACGAATGGGCAAACTGATAGCAAAAACGGACAGAGGTAGGTTTAAAAAAAATAAAAGTGTAGCAACATCTCGCCTGACTTCTTGAATCAATCCACCTAAACAGTTAATTCTTGTGTTAACCTTGTCATAGCCGTTTTGCTCCTTGTCATTCCATCTCCAGCACTAGACCAATAAACTTGTCTCACACCCTTCAGTCGTATCTTAGCCTCTCTCTAACCTTGGTGTACTCAATTCTCTTAGAAGTTCCGACTTTCTACCTTCCGGACATCTACAATAGAATTACACAATTTCAAGATACCAATAGAGTGGAGACGCTCTCTGACCTGCGGGAAGGGCGAGGGCTTGCTGGTGACGATGGTATAGTTCTTGACAGAGTTGATAAGCTTTTCCCTGACGCGGGACTTGGTGCGGCAGAGGGGGGAGTAGCAGCAGCTGGGGGACGTGGCGCACATGGGGGAGTAGCAGCGGTACAGCCCCAAGCTCTCGTCCAGGGCTTCGTAACGCAACTGTCACGGGGGAGAAGAAAAAGGTGAATTTCTTGAGTAAGAAATTCATACCTAAACGTTTAGTTACAGGTATGAGTAACCAATAATGAGCGTCGGGTTACTGGTATCTAATACAATTGAAAATGAGCAATTATTTCATTTCACTTTTGTGAGTCCCAGAGCTTTTAATGGACTAAATTATGAAGAATAACATGAGAAATTACCGTATGCTTGAATAACAATGAAGGTATCTATGATACAGGGCACAGGGTGTCATGGGACTAGAACCCCAAGTATGTAACTAATGTAGGTACACAAGTTCCAAGATGAGGTCACCCAATAAATTGAAATTTGGGATCTATGGTATCTTGACAAGCATAATACTTAGGTAATAAAGGATGCCTCTACTGCTAAAACTTCAAATAATTATCAGACAAAAATATATGTTGACAACTATCAGATTAGAGCGGCGTTGTTCGGGGTTGGAAGTTCCTGTAATTTTGGAAACCTAATCCGGCTATTCCCGTAATTCCAAACGTCCTTAATGATAATAAAGATTATGTATCGTACTATTGTAATTGAATAATGATACACATTCCCCATACAAAATAAGACTTATATTCAAGTCACGTTTCAGAATTTTTGAAGAAACTACTTTGCATCTTCAAAGTTAATTTGTCAGGCATAAAATACTATTACAATTTTTTAGCAAATTTTTTTTATCCTCCCACTAAGAATGAAATTTAATTTGCAGGTAGTCTAACGACACAAGTAACATGGACACACGCAACAGCTCCTAAATAATTGTGGTGACAGGCTCCAACATACTACCCACAAACGTCAATGAATATATACAACATAATCACGATATCGCAATGAATATAACATTTATGGTTACAAGAAATAGGATCACCATCACAAGCCAGGAAAAGACGTCACCTTATGCTGTCGTATTTCCTTGAGCAGGTGGCCAGCGGGTCGGAGTCTGTGTGTAGCTGATCTCTGGCTGTCAGGAATTTCCTGTATGTTGCTGTCAGCGTCAGCAGCGCCCGCGCTCGCGACGTCAGGCGAACCCTCGGTGCCGCCTCCGCGGCTGGCGTCTGCTTCTTCGCCGTCAGACTCCGCGCCTTCCTGCACATGAGAAATGGACAATGTAATTTAATGCAATATAGATATAAACACAAAGCAAGGCATAGATCAATTATATGAGCTTGGTTGGCTTTATCGTCCTGTGTTATATAAACGTGATGTACTGTAAATGAATTCGAGTTACAATATGGATCTATTAAACTCGTTTCACCACTTGCACACGCAAAGCTTTAAGGATAATGAAATTAACTTCCTAATTGAATGACATTTAGTATTTTAATCCAACGGTTTATTTCGGAAATGTCCCAATGAAATTTGATAATAATCTTGAGTTAAACCAAGCGTTTATACAGGATAGTAGTAAGCACATTTTATACCATGTCCAAATAACCCAGTAAAAGTAAGTCGGTCTCACACTCCAAGTCAGCTGACACACGGCGGGTTGCACAGTTGGTATAATAAATGATTGAGACACCCGTTGCTGAACGATCAAGATAGCTGGCGAATCCAAGTTATATTAGGATGGGGCACCTTGAAATAGAAGATTAGAGGAGTCTGTTGTGGAAAGATAAAGAAATCTCTTGCCAATGCTATGCAACAGCTGGTCCAAATGGACAAAAAAATCCATATAACGGCAACCAAGGCAGTGAGTTAAGAAAAGGCAGCAGGAACAGAAGCATTCGCCAATAACTGATGATCTAAACTAAGCGCACGAGACCTCGAGACCTGCATCTCCAGCTTGGGAGCATGAGGCCTGGGTTCATCTTCCGGCATGCAAGGTTGACGTGAAGGCGTCAAAGAACTTACAAGGAGTGAGGGAAGTCCTTGTAAAAAGTCAAAGAACTTACAAGGAGTGAGGGAAGTCCTTGTAAAAAGTCAAAGAACTTACAAGGAGTGAGGGAAGTCCTTGTAAAAAGTCAAAGAACTTATAAGGAGTGAGGGAACTCCTGGTAAAAAGTCGAAGAACTTACATGGAGTGAGGGAAATCCTGGTTAAAAAGTCAAAGAACTTTCAGAGAGCAGCAAGACGAACCTTTTTAATGTTATGTCTCGGCATGGCGAGTCTTCTGGCAAGGAGGTTGTCGAGGGCGGGGCAGGGTAGGGGCATCTTTGGGTACACGAGCCTCATGCGGGTGCCCAGTGATCGGGACACGTTCACGAGGCCGTCCTCGTAGTGCTCCTCCAGCTGCGTCATCACCACCTGCACTTTCTGCTTCGTCGTGCTGCCCACACCTACCGTACGAAATAAAGTCATTAACATCTGAAGCACTACATTATCGTGATGTTAATGTCTACATTATCGTGATGTTTGTGTCTGCATTATCGTGATGTTTGAGTCTGAATTTTTGTGATGCTCGTGCGTGCAGCACAAGAATTTTCAATCTCATGTCACTGTAGCCACCAACACTTCCCGTATTGTGGTCACAAGCCAGTGAAAATAACATAAAACCAGTACAAGAAACATATAGTCAATATTGCAGGAGGCATAGATATGTGTTTGAATAACAACATTATATCATACTAAATTAACTAGTATAAAAGAACAACTTCTGTCATGATGTCATCCTATACAAATAATATTTATGCAACAGATTTCATACGTGCGACAGAAGGTGAAATATTATCGAGACTTCCGAGCCAATGGTTCCTCATTCTATGTGAGATCGCGGTGACGTCCTAAGACGAGTTTCCCGGTTAAGGCTTTATAAGACGTCGCTTTAAGCTGACGCAAGCTACTCTATCGATAGATCTGCTCCGGCACTTAGCATTGTGCCATTACTGTATTGCAATCACAGGCGATCTGTTCTGTACTGATAAACTGTTGTCAATGATTATCCATACAACGCCGGTGTTCTCATTTTACTTTGGCACTTCAATAAGACCGTAAGAAAGAACCCTGATCATCAGGTTAATACTTTATTGCGGTTAAAATTCCAATAGATAAAGTTACTAATTGCAAGTGCATACATGGAAAAGCATGTACATGAAAGGGACGCTCGAACAAATATTGTTGAACCACGTTCAAGGGACACAAGATTCAATCTCATCACAATGATATACACAACTTAAACATGAGAAAAGCCTTTAAAAGGCTATGAATTCACCTCCACTAGAGATGATAATCTCGTTGCTGTCGCTTGGGGTGAGCGTGGGATGTAACTGCCGCAACTGGTTGGGGGACAGCAGCGAGGACTGGAGTTCAGGGGACTTGAGGGCAAGTGTTTCAAAGACTTGAGGTGTGACGGGCAGTCCACGTAGCCCGTTCTCTGTCTTGACAGCCACGACAACCTTGTCAGGGCCCGCTCTGAGCCCCACCTTGCGGGCATCTTGTGGGTGCACCCGACGATGTCTGGCTATCCAACGCCACCCATCACCCACCCAAGCTCGATGCTCTTCACCCTTCACCTTCCACAGCTGCACATCAATTACAACATAGTCATAATATGATTATCATTAAGTATAATATTATACGACGAACAGTTTATAAGCTTGGTTCACCTTCAATCAAATTGCAAACTGTTCTGTAAGTTAAAATTTTCCCTCCAATTTGTTGTAAAATTAGTAGTCATGCAGTGAAATTTTTAAATTCAAGAAACGAGGCTGGAAGTAATCAACTGACCTGATGCTTAGGTAGCTTAGTGAATCGCACCGGCGTGCAGGAGCGCATATCATCCAGCACCTGCACCTCCAGGTCTTTCTTGTCCTTCTTCTCCTGCCGCCTTCGCTCCTCGCGCACGAAGGCCGTGAGGCGGTACAGACGGACGTGGCCGAGCCCTTCATGCCACACGGGCTGGAATACGACGGGTTTGATGGCCGCGACGTATGTAGCCAGGCACTGAGCCAGCTGTCGGGCTGAGGAGCTTCGAGCCAGCTGGTTGAGCCAAGCCTTGCGCTGGGTCGACCAAAGTGGATGGTGCAAGTGGGGGGACACCTGCTGCTCCAGCTGCTGCATGCAGCCTCTGATACACTCACGCACCTCCGGCAGCCCTCCTGCAATCAATGGATATGTGGGTTTTTTTGCTACCATACTAAACATAAAACTTTTCAGGTAGCTCATGATTGATCCTTGTACTTACTGTATGCAACTGGGGCCTTCCAGCAAGACCTCGTTTGTAAACTGTAATTATCTGGATCCTTTAATTCAACAAGGAAATACGTAACCAGCAGAGATTTAATCCGATATGGAGCAAAGCTAGAGAATTCTAGTGTAGAGCACTGTAGGCACAAACAATGGCCTGAACCCTGAGGTTGAAAATGAGTGAACAGAACATGGGGCACGCTAAAGCCTGACCGATTCACAAGGGGATTGATTGAATGTTCTATAATTATTTTGCATTAAATTTTTCATGTACCATTACTAATTTGAAAACAAGAACTAGAAGGATATTTTCGGGTATTAACATAATTCGGTACTTTAACAGAGCTATCATTGAAATTGAATTTAAATTCCGTTTCACAACAGGTTTCTGCATAACATATCAACATATATTATTGAATAAACAAGCAAGATGGTAAATCGGGACTGGCGTTGGTAATGCTGAACTTGTCTCTTACCGTAGGTGGTGCCGCTCCACTTGAACTCAGGACTGGCGTTGGTGATGCTGAACTTGTCTCTTACCGTAGGTGGTGCCGCTCCACTTGAACTCAGGACTGGTGTTGGTGATGCTGAACTTGTCTCTTACCGTAGGTGGTGCCGCTCCACTTGAACTCAGGACTGGTGTTGGTGATGCTGAACTTGTCTCTTACCGTAGGTGGTGCCGCTCCACTTGAACTCAGGACTGGTGTTGGTGATGCTGAACTTGTGGGAGAGCTGACGCTTCTTGTCTCGGTCTTCGTTGTGCTGGAGTTTGTTGAGAGCCAACGGATTGCTGCTGTACTGGTTCACGTAGCTCTGGCCTCCGTCCGTGCCAACTCTAAATGCCTGGCCTGTGGTTAAACCAATTTTAAGTTACTACGTATTATTAATTCACATTATTAACAAGGTTAGTATGCATTATTATTGTGTCCATAGAGCATGTTTAATACAGCTATTAGGACCTTCAGTTCCAGTGCCTAGTGAAACTTTCCAAATTCTGAGTGGCATCGCTGCCATGAATGTGATGGCATAGACAGAAGTGAATGGCGTAATTGCAGTATTGTGTGATAGACATAAATGACGCTAATTCGTCAAATTACTTCAAACCATAAATGCTAATTATCAAATTAACAATCACATTAAAAAAATTCATAGAAATATATTTTCATTACAACAATACCACATAGAATTTGAGATGCAGTTGAATGCCTGCTTTGCTCAAAAGTCAAGACTCATCAGAATTCTTTTCGTGGGTTATTAAATCATCTTTTCTTTTGACGAATTTTTCATTCTCAGGATGGTTCACAGATAAAAATTGCCTAAAAATGCAAGTTTACAACTAAAGGTTCATCACTGAAAATATAGGTAATTAGCGTGTCAATTTTTGCTCCACCAGCACTGCTAAGTTTAATGAAAGCCTTAATTACAGGGCTTACTACAGAAATTCGAGGACTTCTTAAACTACAGGCAGATAAAATGGTCATATTCCTTGGACTACAGATTCGTCTAATTTGCATGCACTAGTCATGGTTTGATGATAATAACTAACTAGTTTCTAGGTAAAGAATATCACTATACACTGACCATTAGAGCGCAGCTGCAAGAGCTTGTTAGCCGTAACGCGCTCTGCAAGCGTCGGCGTTAGCTGCCAAGCTCTGCCGACGATGCTGTGGTCCCAGAGGCCCTTCTCTTCTGCCTCTACTTTCTCCTCCTTTACATCCTCTTCCTTCACTTCTGCCTTCACGGCATCACTGGTGTCTATAGCCTGGTTGACTTCATCCTTGATCTCCTCCTTGAGCTCATCCTTGACAGCAGCCAAGTCCCTGGCCTCTGCAATGAACTTGGTTATTGCCTCATCATCGACCGCCAGCGCCATGGGTCGTGAGCCTGCCAGAGAACGAGTGAGCTTCTCAGTGACCGCCAACTGCCGGTCCATCTCGTGTCGCTGGTCCTCCACGTTGGCCATGAGGTCAGCCTCGTACTCGGCAGGATCGAGGAGTGAGAGCACAGCATGAACTTGTTGGCAGGTGCTGTAATACCACACAGAGCCTTCACTGCTCTCAATGATCAGACGACGAACAAGGAACCAGTACTTGCGACCGTGACGGTCGTATCCTAAGGGGTCGTGTCTGCTCAGCTGTCCAGAAGCTTCTGGGACTGACAGGCAATCTGTCACGCCCGTCACCTGAAAAATGATCAATTAGTCAGATATAGCCAGAAAAAATCTCACCCTCAGTACTTGTGCCAACTTCATTTTTGTATTAGAGTAATCTTCAAGGTTGTTTTTCAACATTGAAAGTTCAATAAAAAGGGTTTTCTATCTCTGTACACTAAGTGTAATGAAATGCTGTGACAGAAAATAATATATTCTTTTTAATCTTCAAGAGGCTGGCTAGCCTTGCCTGGTGTTTGGTGCACACGGAGCAGGTCCAGTCATCTATGGGCATTGCAGGAGCCTCATCAGCCCCCAGACACTCAAGATGGTATACTGCAGTGCACGAGTCACAGCACAGCAAGTCCCCTGCAACAAGTAATATCATTTAATACATTGTTCAATTTGTTCAATAGCGAAAAAGTCCCTAATGCTCACTGGGTTTACCAGTTCACAAGAGCAGGCCACTTGCATGGCTTCTTCAAATCAGTACAGCTTGCTGTGGTGATCTCACAGCCGTGACGATGAATGATGGAAAGCCATGAAATTAGCATGAAAAAATCATGAGTACTCAGAAAACTTAACACTTTAATAAAGACCTAAAGAAATTAGCTCTTGGAAGAAAATGGAAATATTCTAATTGCACTAACTAAAGAATAGGGAGCATGATGGCCAAAAGCACACTCAGGGGAGCCTTAGGAAACAAAATGCATGGCATAGTAGTCTAGTAGAATGATTGAGTCAAATTTTCTTGACTGCTTCTTAAAAAGTAAACAACTTAAATGAATGAAAAAGGTTCATAGATAACTTAGCTTTCACCCTAATTTCATTTAATGTAATCAAGATTTAATTCAAAATGTCAAGAAGAGTGTAAAAAATGTAACTCAGTACTCACTGCAGTGAGTGACAGAGAGCGCATTTTCTCGTGGACGAAAACGTGAGGTCACGGACGGACGAACAGACAGACAGACGGACATGAGCACAATAGTGCATTTTTTCCATAAATGAGAAAATGCGCTAAAAATGACCAATTACCTATGAATGCAAGGTAATTTGAAGCTGACATGGGAAGTCCGGTATTTGAACGTTCATGATGTCCCGTATTTTAAAACTTAGAACAATGCAAGCTAAAAAACCTAAGACAAAGAAGAACAAATGCTAATGGGGACTGAACTCCTCTTGTATAAAAATTTCAGTGTAGTTCATGCATGAGAGTGATGATGAGTAGCTAAAGAGAAGGAAGACTTCAGTGTAGTTCATAGTTTCATAGTTAAAAAGTAATAATGAGTAGCAAAAGAGAAGAAAGACTTCAGTGTAGTTCATGGTTTCATAGATAAATGGTAATGATGAGTAGCTAAAGAAAAGGAAGACTTCAGTGTAATTCTTGGTTAAAGGGTCAAAATGATTGTTCGTAGTTAAAGGGTCAAAATGATGGGTAGCTAAAGAGAAGAAAGACTTCAGAGTAATTCTTGGTTAAAGGGTCAAAATGATGGGTAGCTAAAGAGAAAGATGACTTCAGTGCAATTCTTTGTTAAAGGGTCAAAATGATGGGTACTGTAAAATGGGGTAACTTTGACCACTTTTTTTCAAAATGATGCCATTTTTTTACTAGACAAGTCAAACTTAAATTGAAACATGCAAAATACAGGTCTATACTCTAGCTTTACTCACCATAAATTGCTGGCTCCTGCCTCTCATAGTTTTGATGTAATTTCAAAAAAAGTGATGATCTTTGTTACCCCAGCTCTTGGGTTTTTTTTGACCGGATTGTAAAATCAATTTTATTTTTTGGTAAAATAACTCCAGGTTGTGGTGCATTGTAGTAGAACTCTTCTAGTTACATATGCAAAAGACAAATTTTAGGAAAGTGTCATAGTTTGCAAATGGTGGACGCTGCCCCCAAATGGGCGAAATGTGACAATCTAATGGCAGCCGTGACGGGGTAACATTGACCGGTTTGGAACTTAAGTTAAAATTACCATATGTAAGACTCTGTAGAGTCTGAAACATAAAGAAAAAAACATTAATAGGTGTATCAAACATAAAATATGTTATATAGGTACCTATGGAAATTTTAACTTAATTTCCAAGCCGGTCAATGTTTTTTTTAACCTATTAGATATGCAAACTTTTTAAATCTTTCTATTGTGTTACATAGCCTCAGTATTAGGCCTTCGATGGCCATTGACAAAATTTTTCATGTCGAATCGTTTTTGAGTTTTGGGGGTTTTTGTTAAAAAATGAAAAGTGGTCAAAGTTACCACGCCAGTCAAAGTAACCCCATTTTACGGTAGCTAAAGAGAAGGAAGACTTCAGTGCAATTCATGGATGTAATCATGAGATGCCAGATAGAAGGAAAACTTCTGTATAGTTCATAATTAAAGGATAATCATGCATAATCAGGACTGACCGGTTTTATGACAGGCACGGCAATGATCATCGTAGCGCAGTCTCCCCTCACTCACGAACAACTCCCGCACGCCTGACACGCTCAGCACCTCATCAGTGAGCACCCGCAGCACTGTTAGTCTGTAGGATAACAAGAGCATGATAAACTTGATCATTACATAAATTGCAGAGGGTAATATAATAACATTTGTGCAAGTTATTAAATCTTTCAAGGAAATTCCAATTCTTACTGCTGTTTTTAGAAATTAAGAGCAACTCAGAGATATGTATATTTACTCAGGAACATATTAATACACCTTTCATATTGAATATTGATAAATTATAAAAATGTTCACTGATATGTAAATACATGATGGTAAATACAAAATAAGTGGAATATAAAACAACATTATATAGTTAATGAGGTTCTTCATGAACATGTGGCAGCTACCATGATTTAATATACCAAAACAGTGGCAATTTAATTATCTTGGTATCTATTTGCTTTCAATTCACTTTTTTATTATCATGGATGAAAGGAAGTATAGAAATTAAGACACATAAGCAAATGATTGACAACTCAAGAAGATATCTATATATACATATACTGTATATATAGATATACAGTACCGTATCCTATATATACCTATCCTATATATACCTATATATATATATGCGTGCGATTAACGACCAGAGAATAAATTGATTTAAATTATCAAAGAGTCGGACAATTCTTCAGATGACGTTGGTAGATCGAAAGGGATTTGTGCTGAAGGAACCCACCAGCATTGTCATCAAGCAGTGGCCTGACATCAATCGACCTAAGATGGCTAACCTCATCGTCTCTACGAATTTGACGCCTGCTACCTCTTTCCTAACTACCGGATTTGGCTGAACTTTGAAATGATTTTCAGAGTGATTTTTTGATTTAAAAATTTACTATAGTATCCTATTTACATATATTATGTACTTATTTCCACCAGAATTTCAATATTTAATGCCCTTTGTAACTTGAAAATGATTTCTTGATATATGCCTTTCGATCTACCAACGTCATCTGAAGAATTGTCCGACTCTTTGATAATTTAAATCAATTTATTCTCTGGTCGTTAATCGCACGCGTATAAATCAACAAATTCTGCCATCTCAAACTAATATATATATATATATATATAGAAGAAATTAGGAAGATAAATAATTGAAAAAATAATAATAATTTTTTGTGAAACTTACATGACTAAAGACTTTCAAGATTTTCTAGAATGTAATTTAGAAAAAAAAAATAAAAACAACAAAAATTTAAAATTACTGAAATAAATAAACTCCTCAAAAAATTGTCCACACAATAAAAATGTCAAGTTGCATAGTTGAATTAAAACAGAAATCTTAACCAGAAAACAGTTAAACAGTTCACAGAGTGAGCATCATTAACCCTTTACCACCAAATCGGACTTTCAAGTAGCCTTTAAAAAAACACAGGTTTTCCACGAATTTCACATTTTCTTTCACTTTTTTAAAAAAATTCACACAAAAAAAAATAATATCATAGATTTATTTTTTACATATGTGTACCAAGTTTCACAGTTATCTGTCTGTAAATAACCGAAATAAAATTTCCAATAGAAATTTCCAATATCTTATGGAAATTTCATTTTGGTTATTTACAAATGGACCACTTTGAAACTTGGTACACATATGTAAAAAATAAATCTAAGACTTTTTGTTTGTGTAAATTTAAAAAAAAAATGAAATAAATGTGAAATTCTTAGAAAACAGCCAAAGAGGGGTACTGTAGAAATCTATCTCCTCCTAGGATTTTCAAGCTACAACATCAAGACGCATATCATTTAATGTGTAAGGACCATATCTAACAATTGGTCCTTGCTGTTTTTCGAAATTCAATTTTTGTGGGTGGGGTGGGCATTTTTCAAAAAATTTTGATTTACCCCCCAACCTTTCAAACTTCCCCTGCCCTTTTTTTCAAAATATTTTCAAAACTATAATGAAATTGAAAAAAAAAGCTTCAACCAATCTTTAGATCTTTTATTTGCAAATCAAACGGTATATCTCTCATATCTCTCATTGCTGTAGCTTAAAAACTCTAGGAGGAGATAGGTTTGCTGTGACAATATGTGTGAATGTTCAGTAGAGCGTGACAAAGTCCTGAGCGCCTCAAAATAGTCATTCAAGGTGGCACAGATACAAGACTAGACGTTACTGGAGCTGAAATTCAGTCAGGGATGGTGGAAACAACTGCATGAGCACCATCCCACATGACAGCAGCCGGGTAACTAAAGATCAGAATCTTCAGTCCATCTATTTATGTGCCCGGCTGGTAATTTTCACCTATCTTAAATGTGAAAGAACTCCCCCACCCCTAACCCTTTCACGATCTGTTGTCAAGGCATAAATACGTACAGGGATTTTGTTACCCTTCAATAGGTCAGATTGTCAGCTTTAAGGTGAGACTAAAACCGGTAAAGTAAAATTGGCAATTTTTTACCCAGAAAATCAGGCGGTAAAGGGTTAAATCACAAGCATGAAAATAAATAATTTCTGTTGGGTGCAAAAGGTACTTAGATTAACAACACTGACTAATTAAATTATTGCATATTAAATTCAGTAGTTTTTGATGAAGCATTACCTGTTCTGAAGAGAAGTGAAGGGATAACTACATTTATCCATCATGTGAACAAGTGACTCATGTCCCAAGGAATCACTGCTGAGGTAGCTGTGCAAAACCTGAGGCCAGGTGACGGCATCAACAAGGTAGAGCATAACATTGATGCTGTCTTTTTGGTCCAAAGGACCAAAGTGTGTAGCCTGAGATTCATCTTCCCTCACCAGTGCACGCAACAGAGCTATGTGTATATCAGCCAACAGGACCGTCTGCTGTGTGCTTAGGAGGGCTCCGCAAAACTCCTCAAATCTGCCAGAAAATAAATGTTTTGACTACAACTTCTTATTGCATCTAACCCTCAAGGAGGGCAATAAAGAAAAGAATATCAATAAACATTTTTAAAATATTTTACACTATTTGATACAAACTTTCCAAACTATAATAATATATTACTTGGTGAAGTTGGTGCACTCATTATTTTAGAAGATGAAATGAGTACAAATCAAGAGGTATGGGTTAGTCTTTGTTGTATTTGTGGTTATTAACTCATGAGTCATGAGCGTATTGATACATGTCAATCAACCATATCCAGATCTTATTTCCAAATTTTTAACCAAGTACACAGTATGGCAAAATAAAAGTTGAGAACTTGAAATGTAAATACCGGTACCTAACTCCCAGAATCCCAGTCTCCAATTAATATGAATAGCACATACAATTAGGTATGCAATCAGATTGCCAATACTAAGTGGACATTAATGTAGTAAGGTGAAGAACTGAATATGGCTGATAGAAGAACTGAAATGATGGCAATATCAAGACCATAAAAGCTCTTATATAATGTGAAATATATATTTTTACTATAAATTAAAAAAATGTTCTGATATTATCATATAAATATTCTTATAAACATTGTAAACCAATGTTGGCAAGCCAATTTCACAACCATTTAATGTCAATAAAATAACCAGCAGCCTTCTGCCTTGCATCTGCTAAAGTAGGTATATTGCTTACCTAAAAGGTGAAAGTCGAATAATAGATCTAAAATGATGCAAGACTTCATAGACACTGAGTGCTGGCATGAAATACTCCAAAGGGATTAATAAATCATCAGCTGATGGAGGTAGTGTTATTGGAGGAACTCTTCTATTTTGTAGCCAAATAGCTTCTGGAGAGGCTGGGCGGCTTATGTTTGGAGAGGAGACAGCAGCAATTGAACTGGGTAGAGTTGAATCTTGTGGAAAATGGGAGTCATCACTAAGAACTCCTTCATCATCACTGAGAAGACCCAAGTCCGAGAGACTAGGAACCTCAGCATCTGACTCTTCAGCTTCGTTTTCTGAGGTTCCATCCAAATCAAAATCTGATCCATAATGAAATTCTGAATTTTTATCGTCATATTCGGGGTTATAGCCTCTATTATTTTTATTTTGAGGTTGGGCACTACCGTCTTCGAAGCTACGAAGAGGAGTGCTAGCACGGGAAGCATTGCTCTCTTCTTCTGCATCGCGCAGGTATTTTGGTTTCTTTATATTACGGGGAATATTATTTCTCATCCTCATTTCAGCCTCATAACTAATAACGGGGGCTATTCGAGGACGTCCTCGCTTGCGTTTCCTTTCTGACATCATCGCATGGAATATGGTGCAATAACATCTACAATAACAATACGATGAATTCCTCTGAACGTAAACATAAACAAACCCCCCTTTGCGACATCACTTTACAGCATCTTCAAATCAAGCAAAATATTGGCCGCCATATTTGACACAAGGTCACGTGATAATTTCAACTTATTGTCATATTTTTACTGCAAGTGTATCCAAGTTTGAAGCCAATTGAATCATTGAAACTTGAACAATATAGAACACTCATAAAAGTCACATATGCTATCACTGAAACCATTTATCCTGGTTTTCACGTCAGAAATTTGTGCACTATCAACAACTGCCGCCATGACAGTTTTATACGGTTTGTTAGCAGACTTCTGATTGGCTGAACACAATAATGCAGATTTTCTATATTTTTCTGTAATTTTATGAATCAACACAAATTATTCAGAAAATAATATAAATCTGTCAATTTTCATGATAATCTACTTCATTTATCATCGATGCTTCGTCCTTTTATGTTATGGTGTACCATCGACCAATAACAAGCGCCCTTACATTCCGATTTATTCATCATAACATTTTCAATTTTTATTGAACAAATTTAAAATTTAATGGAGCTCTGAAGTTTGAAAGTCATCTTGATTGCATTTTTAACACTTTTTATTTGGTAACTATTGACTATAAATTCTAACGGTATGTCCACGGTGACGAAAAGACTACCGCAATGTTGTCCATTTGGTTAAAGCCATCGTTCTTCCTAGTTTCGTTCCCCTGAATCAATGATTAATACTAAATAAGCTTTATACCTTGAGCTCTTCTCTCAAGGGCAAAATAATTCATTTAGTGACTTTATTATATAATTTAATCACTACAATTTAACAGCAATACAATAATGAGGAAAATGAACCGAGTAGATGAAATTAAAATTAATTCCAATAAATAGTCGCTGTGCAGTAGAAAACACTTGAGGGGAGCGTCTATGTGGTGAAAAAAAAAACTTTTTTATTTACGGACGGATCACTTTGAAACTTGGTACATCTATGTGAAACAGAATTCTGAGACCTTTTTTATTTCGTGTGAATTTTTCGAAAAAATTAAAGAAAACGCGAAATTCTTAGATAACGGCAAAAAAGGGGGAACTATAGAAATCTATCTCCTCCTAGGATTTTCAAGCTACAACATTGAGACGCATATCATTCGATGCGAATCGATTCTCGAATTTCGAATTTTTGTGGATGGGGGAGCATTTTTCGCAAAAATTTCGAAAATTTTTCGATTTTCCCTTTTCCCACCCCTCCCCTCCTTTTCCAAAATATTTTCAAAACTATAACGAAATTTAAAAAAAAATTACGACCAATCTCTAGATATTTTGATTGCAGATCGAATGGTATATATGTCTCATCGCTGTAGCTTCAAAACTCTAGGAGGAGATGGGTTAGTTGTGACAATAAGTGTGAATGTTCAGTAGAGCCCGACAAAGTCCCGCGCGCATCGCAATAGGCACTCAATGTAGAAAAGATACGAAACTTAACGTTACTGGAGCTTGATTCCAGTCAAGGATGGTGAGAGCGACTGCATGCACACCTCGTGCGACGCCAGGCGTGTAACTGAAGTGCAGCTCAAGCAAACTCTCTATACAAGTGCTCGGCAGCTAATTTCCCCCTATCTTATTAGATAAAGAACTCTCCCGCCCCCCTCCCTTTCGGATTGTCGTGAACGCATAAATCAATGTACAGAGATGGTGTTTGTACCGTTGGATTGCTCAGAATGTCAGCTTTAAAATGAGACTAAAAACCGGAAAAGCCAATACAGTCGATTTTCCACCTAGACACTAACAATAACCCTTAAACATTAACAAACACTAAAATACTTTAACTCTAAGGATTAATAAAATGAGTTGAACTAGTTTCTGTACTGAAGATAATAGCCATTTCATTGTGTTGTTCTAACATACTTGTGTTTTATCGAGATCGACCATTTCGCGCGTTAGCTTATCGTTCGTTGCGTTCGTAACGGTGACTATTAGAGACTTTCGGAGTTCTATATTTTTTTATAAATAAAAAGCACGTGGATAGTGTCCCTTAATCTCGTTGGATGAGCCATGACCATATTCTCGAAATTGTTGGATTTGTGTAAAATAAGCAAAATTTCTTCTTCGCTATACTCGCGCCGAGCGAGGTGTACAGACTAACATTATTGCAGTGAATGTTGAAGCCATTATTGTTTATTAATCAAGCTAATCTTGTTTATTAATCAAGCAATAATCGACCTTAACCGTATTCCATTGAATAAATAAACACTCTGGTATAAAATTTTCAATTTCGGTTCAAATATCAAATTTTGCTTGTATGTTATTCTTCATAATTTTTATTTTCCCTCACATCTCTCATGCGTGTGCAAAATAAATAAGCGAGACGATGTCAAAATAGCGATGCATATGCTCTCTTTGTACTGGGTCATCAGTGCTACCTCTACTCTCTACATACTTGAGCTCAGTGTAAAGAATAGTGTCACGATACCATAACGTATGACCCATTACAATTTCTACGTGTAATTTTCAGCATGAACTAAATCAGTATAGAATATCTCATAAAACCCTCAGTTATGGATCTCCATCCGAATAACTGATTTGGGTTTAAAAATACTATAAGATTCAAGAATATAGAGGATAAATCTAACTCTACAAGCCTGCTCTTAAACCAATATTACTGAATATGCAGCATGATCGACGATATTCATCGCAAACTAAACTATTCATATAAATCAGTCGTGTGCTTAACGATTAGGACACGTGTAAACTTTTTGTTGGTTCCATCGGCGGTTTAGGTTGGATAAACGTGTAATAATATGTATTGAAGACGATTTGCATTACCTAGATCCATCAACATATTGACGAACTTAACGAGAGATTATTGAGTGTCAAATATGTTATCCCCACATATAGAGTTAACCAGGAATGCAGGACTAGTAATAGACAAGTCTACGGGACAAGCTCGCCTGAATTGGTTTACGAGTTCGGAATTCTTGCTTAGTGTTCATATGCTTGACAGTATATAGCTTAAAAAAGATTTTAATAACAACAGAAACTTTTTAGCGCATTTTCTCATTTATGGAAAAAGGCGCTATTCTGCTCGTCATGTCCGTCCGTTCGTCCGTCCGTCTGTCCGCCTTTCTGTCCGTGACTTCACGTTTTCGTCGACGAGAAAATGCGCTCTCTGTCACTCACTACAGTGAGTACTGAGTAAAATTTTTTTGTTTCATTTGAACTTGAAATTTTATAATTCAATGCTGGAAACAACTCATAAATGTCGTCTAACAAATATGTTACTTTTTCGTGTGAACTTGGCGATTGGCTATTAAATTAAGATTTTTATTATAAAGTATAAAAGAGATAGAGAAAATCTGTGGATGGATATCCCAATTAATCAATTATCCATAGCTTATATATTGTGTTCTGGAGTCTCGAAATATTTTAAGTATATGACGGAAAATACATACAATATTTAATAGTAACTTTCCAGTCGTACGTATATAGGCGTTTTTTTCTTTTTCTTATCGAAAAAAGTCCTTGCTTTTTGACGTTGCGACTCTTAATAATGAATAGAATATGAGTTGATCTTTGAAATGAAGTAAAAGTACCATATAAGCGAGACATGTGATGAATTAATTATATTCCATACGAAGATAAAAAATAGATAAAAGCTCCCTCTTGTGTAATTTTATTTTCCGGAACGAGTGCTTAAGTCTAACCATCTTCGCCATCTATGGATCAAAGGTTATTTATTGGTAATACAGCCCGACGCAAAAGGTTAGCCCTACCCATTTAAAACATCATAACACATCGAGTTTTGCGAGTTTTATTGTGCAAATGGTGGCAAACGAATCGTCTTGGTCTCAGTAATCAAAATACAATAGACTGTAGTGAAAATGTAATTAGTAACGGAGAAAATGAAAAACACATGTGGGGCTAACCTTTTGCGTCGGTGCAAAAACACGAACCGCTTGATTTTTCCGCCAGTAATTAACTTCTTCACCAAATTTTACCTGCTATAGATTGCAGAGCGCAAGATAAATCGTTTGCCACCATTTGCACGTTAAAACTGGCAAAACTCGATGTGTTATGATGTTTTAAAGGGGTGGGGCTAACCTTTTGCGTCGGGCTGTAGGAGTCAAATAAATCGAAAAAAGAATTAAAAACACCCCAAGTTTTTGCGTTTTTCGGAACATATTCACGGAAAGAGTTAATGCTATATATATATATATAATAAATTACCTGCAGAATCTAGGAAGGCTCGCTTCAAGACCGCCAATGAATGCCACTAACTAAATATTCCAATATTGTGGAAATGCCACAAAACTACAATTTAAGTTTAACATAAAGTTTCCGAGTCAATTCTCTTTCAGGTTTCTATTTCAAATGACTTTAGAATATTTCTACCGACGTTTGTGGAATTGCGAATCAGTTGTGGCAACAGGTACCGAAAGTTGTGAAAAATAACTGTGTTGGTAACAGGCACCGGTCGAAGTAACAGTTACTTGTCGTGGTAACAGGCACCGGTCGACGTAACAGGCGCCAGTCGAAGTAACAGGTCCCGGTCAAAGTAACAGTTACTTGTCGTGGTAACAGGCGCCGGTCGAAGTAACAGGTCCCGGTCGAAGTAACAGTTACTTGTCGTGGTAACAGGCACCGGTCGACGTAAGAGGTACCCGTCGAAGTAACAAAGTAACAGGTACTAGTCGTAGTAACAGGTACCGGTTATAGTAACAGGTACTGGTGGTCACGGTTATTGGTTTGGTAACAAATACCGGTTTCTCGTGGGCAAAAGAACATTAAAGACAACATCAGCATTGAGCGCTCGACTGTAGTAACAGCCTCGTTACTGACCAAGATTTACTAATTTATCACACGCAGTTGAGCTAATACCTACGGCTTGACCTTCTGTATAATAATATTTCTATTAAAAGTTCAAGAACATGAGTTTATTGATCTCATTGCCTCTTGCGTCCTTCTTTTTGGGGCCTGCAAAAACCAGGTTAAAATTTGCTTGAATCTTGAAATGAAGATCTTGCTTGAATTATGGAATTCTTAATCTTGCTTGAATTATGGAATGAAGCTGCTGTTATGGAACGCCAGTACTGATAGCATTTACTGATACACGCGCCGCTTCTCACAGGTACAGATATGCAACTCTAACTGTAATTAGTGATATACATTAGTGTATTATTAATAAACCGTATCAGTCAAAATATATAATACCCAGTGGTTAAAGTTCAGAATACCTGGGCCTATACCTTCAAAAAAAGTTAAGAGATCGTAAGTTCATCAGCCAATCATTGACGGCCTTTC